GATGCCTGAAATAACATTAAACAATAGGCGAATAAATAAAGATTTTTGACACGACACGTGTGTAGCTCTATTTACAAAATGACGAAATTCTGGGCTATTGAAACTGATATCAAATACCAAATATATTGTTTTTGCAGTTAGCAAACGTGTGCGCAAGCTTAACTATTTGTTTTTAGTGCCAACAATTAATTGTTGAAATAAGCTAATTCATTGTCGGTTAACGCTGCGTATGAGTTACATTTGTATATTAAAAAAGCTTCCTCTAACGTTCGTCAGTTGATGTTTCTGACGCGCGCATTTATTTTCTTTTTTTTTTTTCATTTTTCTTTTTTTTTAACACTCGACACTCATTTTGAATGCTGTCCCCCAAAAACGGTCTCATTATCACGATAATAATGACGACAGGGACAGTGAACGTTGATTGTGATAATGATTGAGGTGCGCGACTGCGGCTGTGGCTGCGGTTGCGGCTGCTGCTATGGCGACTGCTACTGTTAGCTGATTATAATTTACATGTGTTGTATTTATTTAGTTACGCGCTATTTTCCTGTTTCTGTTTGCTCTTATAATTTGTGCTGAACAAAATGATATTTCGGCGTGCATTGTCGAGCCCCAAAGATCCACTATCAATTGTATCTCAAGCGAAAGTTCTTTTAACGAATTTGTTACCCTAACAGGTTAAGGTATTCTGATACTGGCAGACACTATGAACGATAAATAATGTATGGTAATGGACTATTTACATTGAGATGCAATAAACGATATTACTATAGCTTATACACTTGCAATGTCTAATATTGCATATTATCAGCAAGGGTATTTATTGGTCGTAGTCAAAGTTGAGTTTTAATTCTTCTTCTTTTTCTTCTTCTTGTTTTTCGTCAATTCTCGAGCATTTCTTGCGCGCCCAACGAAGCGACCAATAAACATTCAACACCATAACTGTAGTTGTGTTACTGTTACCAGATCTGCCGTTTTTTTTTTAAATTTTCTTTCTCTTTCTTTCTATTTTGTGTTTTACTTTTGTCGTGTTGCTCAGAGGCGTGAAGCGTGCTCACACTGTGAACAGTCAAATTTGAAGCTCTACGCACAGTTTACAAATATGTAAACATGTTTGTATATATAAATGTATATGTAGTTTTGTGTAACGGATATAGGCCATTCGAAAGGATATCGCTTTGCATTTTTAGCTGGTGGAAAATTGCGTGTGTCGAGCGTGCTTATTTTTTTGTTTTTAATTTTTATTGATATCGATATTGGTTATCGGTTAGCATGGGCTAATATTCGTTGACCGAACGTCTTTTTTCTATTTATTTTCGTTTTTTTTTTTTTATTTTTTTTACTTTATTAATTTGTGCTTGCAATCCGAATCCGAATGCGAATCAGTGTGAGCGACGATGCGCGCGCGCGTTCCGCTCACAAATACATTGAAATCAATTAAACCCGTTGTCGTCATCGTAGGCAGCGGCGATTCTCGTCTCAAGCACGAGCGGCGGCCACGCATACACTTGCTGTTGCTGCTGCTATTGTTGCTACTCTCGCACTTGTTTCTCGCTCTCTCACGGCGATCTCTGCGACGCAGCAGCAGCGGCGACGACGACGGCGGCAGCAACGGCATTCGACACCGAGCAATGGGCCAGGCATCATTACGGCTTGTCGTTCTTTAGGATTTTAGTTCATCGATCTCAGCGTAAGTGCTCGCAACACGACGCTCGACGCTCGACGCTGTGACGCTCCCGTCTGCGTTCAAACGGCAAAAGCTTTATTTTTTTCTTGTTATTGTGCGCGCTGCTTGAAATTATTTTCAATTATTATTTATTCAAAATTGTTCGTTTTTTTTTTTGTTTTTTGTTGTTTTACTTTAGTCGATCCGTACGCAGATCGCTGATCGCTGTCGTCGTGGTCGTCGTATGTGCATTTAATTTGATTGTTCCAATTCATATATGTGTGTAGTGTGCGTCTATATTCCCTTTTATCAGCAACAATTTAAAGTGCGACAACGCACGACGGCTCTCCGTTATCGTTTGCCGTCATGAGCTGATCGCTGTGTTCCGATCGGCAGCACCGATTTATCGCTATATATCGCCGAAAAATATCTAACGATTTCGTCCAACTATAAAAGAACAAAAACAAAAACAAAACAAAAAAACAGTACACTTTGTGCACAAATAAACTGCAAATGCAATGGGCTTGCAGCCGGAAAATCTTATGAGGAAAAACGCAGTTACTCTCTCTCACGCAGCTGAGGAAAAGCCGAAACAAAACAAAATGTAACGAAACGATACAAAACGGAATGTTAACGAATCCGAACGATCGGTACTGCGGTTAAGCAGCTTTATCTTATCGCCGCCAACGCCACTAGACCGTCTCGAAGGCAGCCCCAGTCGTAGAACCTCGTACAACACACATCGTTTACCCGCTGACCGCAAGCACAAAACGAAAAGAAAAAGAAAAAATAGAAAAAATTTAAATTCGCGTTCGGTGTTTCTCTTCAAAGTTTTCGAATTCCATCTAACATTTATCTGTTTTGTTCCCAAAGTTGAAAAATCATTCGCAGAATTTCTTCTACCTTTCTGTAAAAAATTGTGTGTTTTTGTTGTTTTCGCTTATGTCTCAATATTAAAGTACAACCTTAAAATATAATTGTCTCTAGTCAAGCTTACGAATTGTAGACTTTTAGCGTAGCTTCGTCGTGCGCCTATTCAATTTTTATAATTTTCGAGCTATCAATAGAGTTTTTCAAATAATCGAAACAAAAATAGGGCATACAATATTTATGTTCATATAATATTTGTTACACTTACCTAGAAGCAGAACTATGTTATTCTTTTTTTGCAACATTAATAGAATATTAAAATCTTTTTTAAATATCATAATGATTTAAGAATTTTCAATTTTCTTTAAACATAATTCTAATATTTATATCGAATTTAATACAATTCTGAATAGTTCGTAACTTTTGCATTTAATTAAAAATTCTTAAATTTATTTTAGCTAGGCCTAAGTCCAATGTAAAATTAATACAAAATTTTTGTTGATCTCGAAAACTATTAATTGATAACCGGTCTGTTTCTGGGTCTGGGTATCGCTGTTCGCATAGCTTGAGAATCAGCAGGAAGAGGTATTTTGTTTATTTAGTTTGGTCAATCTGAAGATTATATCTAAAAAGTGACTTCATCACTTTCAGTGACTGGAAGATAACGTCTTTTTTTTAGCTTTGCATTCAGAACTGAGAAGAATTTTATCACTAGTCTAAAAACGGTTTATCTGCCCAATTGTAAATATCTAAAAGTAGGTCAAAAATACGAAAATAAAATATTTGAGTCGATCTCTAAAATCGATCAATAGTGAATCAAAAGATTGATCACTTTCATGCCATACGAAATAATATGCCCTTTTTAACTTCGTTAACAGGGTATAAAATAAGGCTTAAGCCTTCGCCAGGCCAAGTTTCTTTTTCCTGGTTTCTACAGGGACAACAAAGAAAATTAGCTTCGCAGTTGAAAATATATGGAAATAATTGTGATGGAAAAGTAAAAGGGCTATCGAAACCAGTTACAGATACTCACTTCATTATAGGCATAACTGTAAAACAAGGAAGAACTCCAAAAGCTCAAGGTAGCTACTTCGTCGAAACTTGTTTTAGCAAGCTCAGCTTATTAAGCCACATAAAAAGATCATGCAATTTAATACAATATGATTGTCATGTTCATTAGGGATCGTTTTAATGTATCTACAACAAAGATATGGTACAAACTGAGAGATTATATTATATATAGACGAAAGTGTATACCATTATGACTACTTTCCTATTAATTTATTTTTTTGTATATATTTCTTGAATTTATAACCGACATCTTCTGAGTATATATAGGGGCAAATCATTTTTGGGTGACCAGTTGCTTTTGCTTTAACTTATTGCTGGAAGCAGTAAAACAATTTTGAGCTGCATTCTTCTATGCGATTCTCAGTCTACTTCAGTTATATTAACTTATAGCTGGAAACAGTAAAGACATATTTAACAGTGTTCACATATATATATGTTAGATTTGCAAGTATATAGTTATTTATATAGAAAACAGAAAAGAAATACTTAACAGCGTTCTTCTATGCGATTCTCATACTTGTATATTAGGTTTTCATTCATTGTATTAGCTTTTGTATTTGTTGTAGTTTACTTCAGCTATGGTAACTTATAGCTGAAAATACAAAAGAAATATTCAACAGTGTTCTATGCGATTCTCATACTTGTATTTTAGCTTATTATTCTATTTCTTATTAATGTTATCTAAATGTTTCTGTGGTCACTGACTCAGCTTTGTTGTTCTTTCTGTGTTTTATTTGAAATATTTTCGGCTACTTCATATGGAAGTCTAGGGTATCTCTTTGTGGGACGACGACAACGAAAACATACATATATTTTCGATATATGCATATTTAATGTCCGCACACTCATCTGCGCATGTATAATTTTAACATTCTTTTGTGCTGTTTGCTTCGGTATCGCGGCACATAAAAATAAATGCGAATTTTGAAAACAAAACAAACAAACGAGAAAAACGTTAATTTCTAGCGACGCGCGTTTCGCTAGCGTTTTAAGCGCGTTTTGTTTTTTTCTACTGTAAAAAGACAAAAAAAAAAAAACAACAAAAATAAAACTTATCTGTTTTCATTTAATTCACAGCTAGTAAAAACATACACAAAGAAAAAAGAAAAGTTGTAAAAAAATACAACTGCAATAACAAAACAAACAAATCATGTATTTATTATGAGCATTAACTAAGCAACACAAACAAACCAACAACAAAAATGTACAAATGAAAAAGTCTATTGTAATGCCAAACAAAACCACAAAAATTCTAATTAGTTCAATTCAACAAGCCAAGTGACAAAATATAAAAAAACGTGCCAACTACAATCAACCAAATAATAATTATATGCACACCGATATATATATATATAGAAAGTTAAATATATATTTATATATGTATATATATGTTATATACTAAGAGCAGATCCTCTTAGCGTTCTATGCCTGCCAAAATCGAAAAAAGTACATAAAGAAAAAACAACATTTCAACAAAAGCTGCACTAAATAATTTATATTAAGTTCACATTAAATTAATTAAGTGGAATATATAGCAAAGCCAAGTGTATATAGAAAACTTAAAAGAACAAAACCCACAAGCAGAACAACAAAAACGGCAACAAAATGCGCTTCACTTACAATCAGTATAAATATTATGAGTCCGGCTATCGTATTCCATCCAAAATGCACAATCTAAGCCATCATCACGGAGGCAATGGCAATGGCAGTGTTGGCAAAATCAACAGCAACAATAGCAATGGCAATAGCCACGGCAGCAGCAGCCACCACTACAGCCATCACAATCATCACAGCAACAACAGCAGCAACAACAGCAATAATAATACAAACACAAATCCATATCAGCATCATTACAAAAGCAACTTTGGTAAGCTTTCAACAACAGCTACAAATGGGCATAGAAAAATATATAATAAAATTAAAAAATAAATAATAAAAAAAATAAAATAAAAAAAAATAATAAGAAAATAAAATTTTAGAAATAAAAAATAAATAAAAAATAATAATAGTATAAAAGTCAATAAAAAATAAAGAAATAATAATAAAAAAGATAAATAAATAATCAAATAAAATAGAATGCAAAAATAAATATATTTCATACCGAGTTGAAAATATTTCTAAAATATATTGTAAAATTACATGTTATAAAATTGACCTAGACTTATTTTGAATCCGATAAATGTCGACTATACTTTTCGGAAGGACTTCGAATCTCAAGTGGAAAGGCAATTAAATCTAACCCAGAAGACTCCAAAGATTATTGCCCCTAGCATTTGAGATCCTATAACATTAGCACAACTGTTTTATTTCTTAAAGGAGATGAACCAAAAGAGAGGCAAAAGTTTGAGGGAAAGAGGCCGAGAGCAGGTCTATATGAAATATTCTATAACTATAACTATCTTTTTGAAACAAGAGAAGATAAAGCAGAACTGTGTTGAGACTTATATTCAGTACAGGCAAAGTTTAGTCTTAACCAAATAATTGCCTAACTTTCATTGAAATTTGTCAGTATGTGTAATTGTTATAAGGAACATTGCTATAAACAAAGGAATCTGAAACATTATTATTATGGTTGGCTGATTGATTAACAGTCACAGTCTTTACCTTAAACTCTAGGCCTGGAAAGTGAATGAATTTAGCAATATTTCTTCTGTGCCTCTCTCGCCAAATAAGATTTGAAATAAGCTGAAAAAAAAAATAAATACAATAATTCTTATAAAAATAAAATATGCCACAAAAAATATGAATGTCGATCTGAAAATGCCAAACAAAATATTTTCAACTAGTAATGCTGTTGCAATATGAAAAGAATTCTATTTTAAGTTTAATAATAATTTAAAAAATATATTAAAATTCTTGAATTCAGCTGAAAAGTCGTCGAAAATCCTTTCAAATAAATTCAAATTTTTTTTATATCCCAATTTGACTGTGCCCGAGAGATCAGCAAAGATCGGTTGCAGTCTATAAATAAGTGATAAGCCTCGAGTACTGAGCAACTCTCTTTGAAGCGTCGATGTGCGTCAATCGAATCTCTAAGTCGCAATCACATTCCAACCTCAAAGCGAAAAGCTGGCAACTTGTCGATAAATATGTATTTATTTTGCTATTTGAGTGGCCCAAGAGTTGCTTATGCGAAAATGTATTATTCAATTACACGTCAATACGAGTCAGGTTCGAATTACATTTTCATTTTCATCTAGAAACATGCATACATGTATGCATGTATATACATTATAGATACACATATATGTATCATATATATTTAATTTGTCAGTTAACAAATTTGTCTAGCGATAAGATTAAGGCCAAAATCATTAATATAATTGCAATTGGCTGAAACAAATCTACGCTACGATTTGATTTTGTTTAAAGTGTTTTTAACACAATTTACCAATTTATTTTTCATATCAAAAAAGATTTTATCAAAAATGATAAGCTGATTAGATCGAAAATAGATAATTTCCAATATATATATCATATAGTTATGTTTTTACAGATGGTAAAACGCTTAAGATATATTCCTATACTACATTTATATTTATTGATTCATATTATGGCACTAGAAATTCAAAGCTAAGATCACCTGCTCTATGACCTAATACACAGCGTTGCCAATTGAATTAAGCAGCTTTTTGTATGCCAATTCAAGACGACAAAATTACATAAAAGCGATCTAAGAAAAAAAAAGTAAATCTTATCTCTTTGGGTTGCAGATAAAAAAAACAACGCCTCGGGAGTGTGAAAAGGCGCGCTTTCTTGTGAGTGTGGGTGGGTTATTCTATGGGCATCGGGCACGGATTGGCTTGTCTTATCGCAGGCGCTTAGATAAAATGCCGCGTCAGTGGCAGGTAACCAGGTAACAGAACTCTGGCACAGGTACCCAGACATATATATATATATATATGTATGTGTGTGTGCACATTAAGTGGAATCATAAAACCCATGATGTCAGCCAACATGTGTGCGTGTGTCTTTGAAGATTTCAGTTCAAAGGTTACTTTTTGCATGAACTTGACTTTGCACGCATAAATGAAGAATAGCAAAAGATCAAAACAAGAAAATAAGAAGCAAATTACTCAGCTTACATAAACCAAATGGAATTATTGATATACTGTTTTTTGTTGTTGTCCAATATTTGGCCAATACAAAAGTCTTCTAATTTAATTTTCATAAACTGATTTATGTCGTATCAAAATGTGAAAATTTAGTCATGATCTAGTGCCATGGGGCAACGGCACACACAATTGCCTTGCTTATCGATGCGAAATATCTTTATAGACTCAAGACTGAACAGCTTGGTAACAGGCACTGAAATCGTTTTAATTTTACTATTTTATTTCTCCAGTTATACGTGCTTTGCTACAATTGCATATCAAATGTATCTGTTCGTGAAGAGAACCGCAAAATAAGGACATCGTTGTCCAAATAATTGATTAGTTTGTGACACGAATCTGAAAACAAGTATTTGTAATTAGTGCTTTTAACTGGGCTTCCCATTTGCTTCAGGCAGGCCTAGGTTATTTGACTTACGTTCTTATTGATGCATAGAATTTTAAGAAGTTATGTTGCTGAAATATAAATAAATAAAATATAAATAGTGATGGGAAGAAGAATGCGCTTTCTCTTTATCTTGATCAAGCTGTCCTCTCTCTCTCTCTATCTCTCTCCCTCTTTCTCTTTATCTTTCCGTCTTTCTCTCTCTCTCGCTGATTATCTCCTCTCCAATCCCTCTCCCTACTCTCTCTTACTCTCTCTCTCTCTCTCTCTCTCTCTCTCTCTCTCTCTCCCTCTCTCTCTCTCTCTCTCTCCCTCTCTCTCTCTCTCTCTCTCTTTCACTCTCTCACTTTCCCTCTCTCACTCTTTCTCTTTCTCTCTCTCTCTCTTTCTCTCTCTCTCTCTCTCTCGCTCTCTCTCTCTCTCTCTTGCTCTCACAGCCAGTTTTCCTCTCACTCTGTACCTCACACATTTTCTTTCTCTTACCCACTCTCAGCTTCCGCCTAAATCTCTTTGGTTTTCTAACCTTTCCCTCTTTATGTGTCTGCCTCTCTCTGTTACATATTCTTGTCCATGCACACTTTCCCTCCCTCTCATTTTCTCTATCTCTCTCTCTCTCTCTCTCTCTCTCTCTCTCTCTCTCTCTCTCTCTCTCTCTCTATTACTTTCTCTGTGTATCTCTCTCTCTCTCTGTCTTCACTCGCGCTCTCTGTTTTCTCAGCCTCCATCTTGCTGCATTTCCCTTTGCTGTTCGAGCCTCTTCCTCTTTTTTTTTTTGTGGAATTTCGTGCCCTTACAGATTGCAATTGTTAATTTATATAAATATATATATATATATATACACACACACATATATATATATATATATATATATATATATATATATATATATATATATATATATATATGTCTTGACTTAAGCATTCCTTTATAATTAATAAACAATGTACTCTAAATATAATTCGAAATAAATGCCGAAGCAAAAGGCAAAAATGCAGTAATCAAATGTAAACAGCTTGCAATGAAATATAGAAACAATTACAAAAAAAATTGTGTATATATTTATATATATATATATACATTCATTTGCAAATCGGAGAGCTCAGCATTAATGCAGATTCGAGCGGGTTGCTTGGACGGCGTCTTCGTCTGTGCGTTATCAGTTTGTGGCTGCAGTTTGCCTGTTTATTGTTGCTATTAAGTGCAACTGCAACTGCAACAGGCACAGCCAGAGCCACTGGGCAATGATAATTCACAACTTCACAAATTGTGCATCAATTGAGCGCCCAAAGTACAACAATAAAGCTCAACTTGATGTGCAATTGGATGAACAATGACAGCTGTGGACTGACGTTATACGTATATAATATACACATATATATATATATTATAGTCCTAGTCATAGTCATGGACTGCAAGCATAAAGATATATATGACAGATGCTGGGCTCGTATGCATTTTGCGTACAATCGAGTTCAATGCCCTCTGTCTCTAGCTGCATCCACGTTGCATTATCAGCTGTTTGAGCGTTGAAAGTCGAACCATTTTTGCATTGTGCTCGAATGGGGCACTTGATTCGGTGTCTCTGCTTATAAACTACATACATATGTAACAAAATTCACCAATATATATATATTTATATATACACGTGTGTATACAGATCTATATCTATATCTTTTCGTGATCAGGCAGCGAAGCGAACGCAATTTGCTAAACGCACTTTGTTGCAATTTTTGATTTCTTTTCATTTTGTCTGGCTTATCATTCCATTCTGGTTTAAACAGGTTTTATCTTGATATTTTGACATATATTTACTTGTTCCATCTACGCGGCATCAAAAATATTTACAATTCGTGTAACAATCTGTAGATTGCTATCTTCAACAAATGTGTTTGTGTATTGGGTTCCCTTATATATACGTATATATTTAAATATTACGTCTTAGTGAGCGTTACGTTTTAGACTTTATTTTATGAATAAAAAGGAAACTCAATAAAAGGTTTTTTAGTCCTAAACGTGGCAAAGTTTGCTTCGCGCTGACGAACCTTTGACCTCTACTTGGTATGGGCAACATGAATCAACTTCTATGTCCATGAGCTCGATCGCTAGCAGCACAAAATACGAATAACCGTTGAATTAAGATCATTATGATCTGAATGTCTATATATCCAATTCAATCAAGGACATTCTATAGATAGTTCAAAGACATATTTTTACTTACAATCCCAGACTAACTTAAAGATTTCTATCGTCTTTTCCTTTATGTTCTCTTCTCATCTATTCGCTTCTCTTTTCTTATCTGTTCTACTCTTCTCGGCTCTTTTCCTCTTTTCTCCTCTCCTCTCTTCTTTCTTCGGTCTTCTCTTCTCTTCGCTTCTCTTCTCTTTTCTTCTCTGTTCTTTTCTCTCTTCTCTCATCTATTTTTATCTCGTCTTCTCTTGTCTTCTCTGCTCTTTTCTTTTCTTCTCTTATTATGCCTTTCCTTCTCTTCTCTTCTTCTTCTTCCCTTCTCTCTTCTCATATCTATTCCTCTTACCTCGTCTCGCCTCTTCTCTTCTCTCCTTTGCTTTTCTCGTCTCCTCTCTTCTTTTCTCCCCTCTTCTCTGTCCGAAGACCATTTCTGACTTTACAATATTATTTATTAATTACAATAGTGTTAAGTGTGGTCTGAAGTGAATAGCTATGATTGACATTTGGTGTTTTCTCTTGTTAACCTTTCCAGGCATGCGTATGACCATGTCCACAAACTCAACGATGAGTCCTCGCATACATCGCAAAGGCTTTCGCATACCATCGAAAAGACAGCCGGGCAAGGGACTGCCGGGCAAATTGCACACCATAGCCAGGGTAAGCATATCATATATAAATAAATATATATATATATTATATTTATATACCTTAATCTTAATTAAAACCTTGTATTTTCGCAGACGGGACCGGGAAAGCTTGTGCCGGGGAAACGAATACCACAGCGACCGCATCCGCCGCCCTGCGACAATTCCAATGACAGTGGCTTGGGATTCGACCAGCACATGGAGCTGCGCAATGGTACGGCAGCAGTTGCTGTCGACGCCAGGAGCAACAACGCCAGCAGCAGCAGCAGCAGCAGCTGCAGCAGCAGCAGCAGCAACAGCAGCAGTAGCAGCAGCGGCATCTCCGGCAGCGGGCAGCACTCAAATCTGATAGTAAATAGTGTAACTGCAGGTGCGGCAAGCAGCAACTCGTTGCAGCAGCATCATCATCAGCAACAACAGCCGCAGCAGCAACAACAGCAGCAGCAACAGCATCAGCATCAACAACAGCAACAGCATTCACCGCAGCAGCATTTAATACGAGCGATACCTGTTTCAAGGTGAGTCCATCTACCCTTTCGTTCACTCAGCTGTTCGGTTCTTACACACTCACCTGCACCTATTCGCACACACACACACACACATGCAGCTAGATATTGAGCTGAACTTATCGCAAATTGAGACGCGCTCAGTTACCGAGCTACCAGACGCCCAGCCAGCTTTATTGTTTAATTTCGCCAAAGCCCATTCGATTGTTGTACTATAAATAAAAGCGAGAATCGGTTCAGTTCCGAAGTTGAAAATGCATTGGATTATGGTTACCATAATCGATCGTTGGCCAGTAGTAACGCCCTTCAGTAGTCAGCCGCACTTGGTTTCGATAGGAAGTGTTTCTTTCCAAAGTGGCCCCAACGTAACTCCTCTCTTGCTCAAATTTTTTGGCAACATGAGGACGCTGTAAGTGCCGGGCATCGCGCTACCTATTACACTCTATCTAAAACATCTAGAATGCATTCATTCGCATTTAGCGTGCTTGCAGCCAAGTGACGAGCGCGACCAGTTCACACAGCATTTCGATAATTGCTTTCATGTCGCGCGCCTCGGAAAATCTTGCATTACAACTTTCATCGTTCGGCACATTTGCTCAATTGATATTTCTTTTAATCAATTTCACACATTTTTCTCGCTCAACACATTTCTTATTATAAATTTATACATTTTTATTTGATTATATTATAAAAAAAGGTGTTTACAGTGGCCACTCGCTAGTCAGAACGCAATTTCTTATTCGCTTAAAGTCATTTTATGCAATTTCTTTTTTATGCTTGATATTTTACACATATATATATTAATATATGTATGTGTATGTGCATATGTACATGTATTTTCAAAGTTTTCTTTTTTTTTCATACATTCGTAAATTATAAAAAGTAAAATCAAATCAATAAACTGAAGCAAATTGAGTTATTTTTTTATTTTAATAATTCAAAATTTTAAAATGTTTAAATATATAAAAATATTATTGATTTATAAAAAAAAAGTAATTTTGTTCAAAATATACAAAGTTTAAATACATTTATTAAGCCATATATTGAGTTTAAAAATTGTTATATTGAAAGACTTACATCAAGTTTCAAAGAAACATTTTGATTTCATCGAAAGATTGATGAACATTTATATATATATTTATGGCTGAAGTAATTTATGAGATCTTTCAATTGAAAAGAAAATTAATAATAAAAAGCTTAAGAATTTTGGTATTATGGACAGGTTTTGCGCGATGAATTTTTGTTATTTATTGGCATTGTAGGTCAGGGTGAATGTGTTTAGAGGCAAGTGTTGCTCTTTGGGGTGTGTGTGCGTGTGTGTTTGAATTTAGTTGCCATTATAATACTTATGACCCATTACATTTACATGCCTGTAATCGAACTGTAATCGCACTTGTATCTTATCAATTCGTTCTATCAACTGCAGTTGAATTCTGAGCTTGCCGGCCACTTGAAGGCCTCCTCCTTATCGCCCTTGTCTTTATGTCACTCTATAGAATAAGACTGTGAAACGTGCTGTTTTGATTTATATGATCGTCTCTGAAATTGTTAGTTAATCGTTTAATGGACTCGAACTGGGAGCTGCCAACTCGTTTTCGCCCAGCCTCAAAAACTGACATAAATTGGCAACAGCGATCGCCATCTATCTTGAAAATCCAAAATATTATTTCAAGGTGAAAATCAACTGTCTCAAAGAAGAGCTTTTCAAGTATAGTTTTGTATATCAATACATAGAATGGAAGTTCTATTCAATCTATGGTGATTTCATCGCGAATTGAGTTCGATTTGTTGCGATTATTTCAACCTCAATGAGATAACACTAGCGTCTTCTCCATTCTGATTTCTCTACTATATATAATTTGAATTTATTACGCATACGCCATGTCGTGCTGTCTACAAATCGATCTAGAATTGAATGACTGAAGGCTCAAAACTAAATTTATTTTAATATATATTTATATTTATAAGGTTATGACATCTTCCGTACATTGGGCAGACACTTGGGCCTTCATTCTGATTTCTCTCTGTATATAAATATATAATTTGCATTTATTACGCATACGCCATGTTGTGATGCCTAACAAGTCTACTGATAATAGCTGTACATAGATTTAACTTAGATTAGTATATCAAAGAAGCTTTCAATTATGCTCGTTCACGCAATGAAAAGAGTCTATGCGCTTTCTCGCTCTAGCTGTGGACTTTCAACGTAAATCAGACGGAAGAAAGCAGTATTTTCCATGGTTTCTAGAGCTAGTATTTCTTGAATATTTAATTTATCGTCTCTATACTCTAGACCTTTTCTATACATATAATTTCTATAGCCAACACATCGACAAATATGCTCTTCTTAATACATTCATTCAATGTGTGAATCGTGAACGAGTATTTTCTAGCCAGGCTTAGCCGACTGCAAGGTTCTGGCTTGCTTCGAATTGCTAATTGCTGCTGATTGGGATTTTGCACGTTGTCAAATATCAAGTTATGTTATGAAATGTGTAGTGCCATAACAGCACTTGTTTATTTCATATGCATATATATATGTGAATGTATATAGCTTCCACTATATCACCTCGAATGTCAGCACATTGGTTTAAATTCTATGCAACTGCTTCTATTGTAATGCAGTAGCCACAACCCTTATCACAGCTACAACTTTGCTTTATTTGTTCTCTGGTATTTTTTAGTATTAATCGTTAGTATTTTTTCAAATTCATTCAGATTAGGGAATCGAAATGAGTTTAGCAAGTCCGATCTTATGAACTAGATTCAGTCATTTTATGCAGTTTGTTTCAACTTTGTATTTTGTAACTAAAAAAAGAATTAGTTGAACTTTTAGTTAATTTTTTTACTCTGCAGCTCGTGTTATAAGTTTACCGCTCAGTAGTTCCAGTAAATTGTTGACGATTCGTGCTACGTGCTTAACTATGTTGCTTGCAGTTTGGAACTAGTTCACTTTGTTTATATTTTTTTAAGTTTTTTTTATGAAAAGTAAAATAAAATTAAGTTTTTTCATCCTCATAAACAGTTGCGTTCATAAAAATAGTAGTGCTGCAGTACACAAAATATAAACCAAATGAAAAGAGACTTCTTCGGATGATAAAAAGATGTTGAGAATAAAAAGTAATGAAGAGAATTAAGAAAAAATCGCGTTGCTTTTGGGCGGAATTCATTTGTTTAGAAAGTTGCATTGATCAGTCGATCATGGATATAGTAGAGCTGGATGTAAGGAGTGGACAAAAGTAAATAAAAATAATGTAGTAAAAAGAAATATATATATATATCCACAGAAAGTGTAATTAATTGTGCTATATTTTAGTGATTGGAAATTATTTGTGATTTTAGTGAGTAGAATAAATATGTATTTATTTACTTTTACTCAACAATTTCAACTCGATCCAATGAACTTGAATTGCTGTTGCTGGATGTGTCTGTTTGTATTGGCATTCGTAAACTATCTAAAATTCGCTTTGAATTCTTGAGCTCTTTTAGTTATTTGATTGTCGTGGCATAAAAGTGTGAGAGTTCGAATTACACGATTCGATTCCAAATATTTATATGTATTTTATTAAACACAACTGAAGACATTATTCTGATCATTATTATTATTGTTTTGTATTGTATTTTGATACAATTAACGTCAAAACTTGTCAACAATATAGAATCGAAATGTATACAGATCAGAGTATCGATAAAATTGTTAATAACATAAACAGTTGAAACAGCATATATTCAATATAATTGTATATATATGTATATATATATATGCATATGTATGTACCTACATATAGATCGCGTCATGCCAAGAAAATGCTTAACTATCTGGATGAAATCGAAGCGGACTCTTCGCCGACATATGTGGACGATCTGGTAACGCCGCCTAGCAACGACGAGGACACGGGCTTCGGCACCGACAGCAATCAGGCAACAGCGACAGCAGCAGCAGCAACAACAACAACATCGGCATCGACGCTCAGCTCAGAGCTGTTTGGTGGCATCTTTAGCACAACGCTGCGCCACAAGACCGCCGATGTGGTGCTCACTGTACAACAGCCAAAACCGCAGCAGGTGCATCAGCAGCATTACCAGCAGCAGCAGCAGCCGCAGCAGCAACAGCAGCATCAGCAACAACAACAGCAACTGCCACAGCAGCAACACTTTCAGTATCCAGGATTACATTTACAGCTCCAGCAGCAGCAGCAACAGCAGCAGCAGGAGAGCAGCAGCGGCACGGAAAATAGCAGTGGTGCCAGTAGTGGGCGTGGTGGGAAGCACCTGAAGCGCCGCAAGCTCGAATGCAATCAGGTGGAGCTGGACAACGATGATGCATGCAGCGAAGATGAGTTTATACGCAAAATTGCCACAGTTGTGGCCGACAGTAGCCCGAGCCATGAGCCCAACTCAGCACGGGAAACGTTGAGCTACGGCGGCAGCAAGGGCAGGAGCAACAGTGAGCCAAAGTAAGCGGGCGAATTCTCTTCTTTTCTTTTGTTGTTTTTCTGTTGACTTCAAAAACATCTACAACAACAACAACTAAATATAAATAAACAAACAAAAATTCTAGAAAAATGTCTAAACTGGCGCCAAATTTGTGACTTGTCCAAAATGAATACAGCTCTGTGTCTCTCTTCCTCAAAAAACAAGTTTAAAATTTAACGAAATTCTCCTTAAGCAAATTTATTTCACATATCTTCTTATTGTGCGTTTCATAAGGTGAGAAATTGGAACGAAAATCTCAGTTAAATTATCTGAATTAAAAATTTAAAATATATTAAATTGTTTGGAATCCAAATTCAAATCATTACTCGATCAATAAAAAAACTGACAAAAAATTCATTAAAAATTATTATTGATATTATGTAAAAAAAAATGTATTCACATAATTTTGAAATCTTTAAATTAAGCTTAAACAAAAATATTTAAAAATATTTAAAAATTTATTTTTGAAAAGTAAAACAAATTAATTTTTAAGTGTAGCTATTATTATGAAACGCACTGTGATCTAAATGAATGAAATAATTTTGTTAAAATTTTAACTAAAAATTATTATAATAATTATATAATTATTATAATAATTAATTGAAAAAAATGCGAGAAAATGTTTAGAAAGCTCAAAACTTTGGCGATTTAAATTAGAGTAAAATAATTTAATTGCAATAAATTTGTTTAATAATTTATTTGAATATCCATCTTACTCTTTAGCTATCCCCCTCTCTCTCTCTCTGTCTCTTGCGCTCTGTCTGTCGCTGTTCTGAGCTCTGTGTGTAAACAAAATGAAACGTTAACAAATAAGCAAAGCAAGTTAAAAAGCATAAAACTCAAATCAAAATAAATGTTTAAACAAAACCAACAAAAAAACAAAGAAAACAATAACTGCAAAGCGCGGCATTTTCCAGCAATTTATTTTTCATTGTTTTTATGTTCAAATACAAAAGGGAAAAGTTAAAAAACATTTTGCGTTCAGCCTACAAATTGAACATTTACAAATATTGTTCATATTATGTACATATGTCTTATTGTTATGCGTACGATACTCTCGCTCCCTCTAACTGTGTGTGTATGTGTGTGTGTGTGTGTATGTGTATTATATAGCCATATATCATTTCGCATCATGTTAATTCATCCTGGATCAGCACACGCAGCACTAAATTCTTCATCGTAAATCATTAATACGCATATGCCAAACACACGCATGCTCCTGCATAGAATTCCATGCCATAAACACCTACATAAAGATGGATATATACAGATATATATATAGAAGAACTTTCGGAATTTGGTTATAGCTTTGCAGTCGTAAGCAGGCTGCATCCATAGACCACATTTTGCACCTTTGATTTGAGCTTTATACGATGTTTTTTTTTTTTTTTGTAATGCCAGCCCAGCCTCTCATCATTGCACATAGAGATCTCTTGAACTTTGACCTGTAGCGCTAACTTTGGCCGTTTTATTTATCGTGTCTCTTGCACTTTCGCAGATTTATTGGAACACGCGCCGTGACCCGCGTCGCCAACAAACGACAGCCCACAACGCCATTGAACAGCATCGCCAGCTCGAACGACAGTCATGTCCAGCTGGAGATTGTTTCGCAGCCGGAGCAACAGCATCGCGCCCGCTACCAGACCGAGGGCAGCCGCGGCGCCGTCAAGGATCGCAGCGGCAACGGCTTTCCCATTGTCCGGCTAACGGGCTACGATAAGGCGGCCGTGCTGCAGGTCTTCATTGGCACGGACATTGGACGCGTCGCGCCGCACATGTTCTATCAGGCGTGCAAGGTGGCTGGCAAGAATTCGACGCAGTGCAACGAGAAGAAGGTCGATGGCACCATGGTCATTGAGATTGACTTCAAGCCCGAAACGGACATGACCATTACCTGCGATTGCGTTGGCATCCTAAAGGTAAGCCATTCAAAATGCAGCCTATCTATGGGCTAGCTCAAACTGAAACCTGAAACTCTTCCGCCTCTGTTTGCAGGAACGCAATGTCGATGTAGAGCATCGCTTCCCCGAGCACCTGGCACAGAAGAATAAGAAAAAGTCAACACGCTGTCGCATGGTCTTTCGCACGCAGCTAACACGCGACGATGGCAGCACAGAAACGCTGCAAGTCTGCTCCAATCCCATCATATGCAGTATGTATACATGAATCATATCAAAGCTATAGCTTATATGCCTGCTGTAGACTATAATGCTAAACACTGCGATCGGTCAGCTCATTCTGTCTATAGATAAATAAGAAACTCAAATTTCCCCTGCAGAAGGTCTAAATACTTGAAATCGGACTAGAAAAATTAATATCATATGGTTTGTGTAAACAAGACGAACCAAGCCTAAGGAATGGACATAGATCTGTACATAGTTTATATATATTTATATATTTATATATATCTTATTAAATCGGAAACTTATCCGACTTTTCTCATTGTCCAGCCTAACTGTTTGCTGGATAATCAACTGAAAAGCTTCAATCGAAATTCCATCAACTCAAATATAGTTTGTATTCATTAAAAATGATCTATAACAAATATATTTGCGATGAACAGTAGTAGCCATGAAAGTAATTGTAGACAGTAAACATTTCTCGATTGCAGTTTCAATCAAACAAATTGGAAATCAATTTAATGCCATTTTTTGTTTGTTTTTTTTTTTTTGTTTAATAGCTCAACCTCCGGGTGTGCCCGAGATCTGTAAGAAGTCGCTTAACTCTTGCCCCGTCGTCGGTGGTCTGGAGCTATTCATAATTGGCAAGAACTTTCTGAAGGACACACACGTCGTGTTCCAGGAGACCTACGACAGTGTCAATGCCGATGATCCGTCAACTGAAATAGTGGGACGCCAGCAGCTAATCGCTGGCACGCCAGCGCTATGGGAGCAAAGTGTGCTGCCCGACAAAGAGTATTTGCATCAGGTAGAGTACATATAAACTTTATATATATATATATAAAATTGAAGTATCTAAATATATGTCATTTGTAGACGCATTTGATTTGCACAGTGCCGCCATATCAGCATCAGAATTTAGTAAAGCCGGTCAACGTTCAGGTGTCAATTATTTCGAGCGGCAAGAAGAGCGAGCCACACACCTTCACCTATACGCCCAAGGGCAGCTATACAACTTTAGCGGCGGCCAGCACGTTAAGTAGCACAATGCATAGCCAAGGTATTTATTTGTTGACTATTTCTATATAAATCAGCAGACCCCTGCAGGCATCATGAACCATAAACAAATTAAGCGCGATTCAAACACACACACGCACACCAATATAAACAGATACACTCACACACACACACACACACACACACGCACACACAGACATACACACATACAAACGACAATTGAAAAACTAATCCGTCGTCAGGCAGTCGTCGCAGGCAGGCCAGATAAATGCACTAACGTTAGTCTATCAAATGAATAAGAAATACATAGATACATCCATGCATACATACATGCATACATACATATGTACATACACTCTACACCATCATCCAAACTTATGTATGTATGTATCGCAATCAACTCGTTTAACTCGAAAATAAAATATAAATAAAAAACGAAAAACCAAACCAAAAAAAAAACACCAAAAGAAAGAAAAAAAAACATAAATGAATAAATAAAATCTGCAAACTTAGTTAGTTTAGCTAATTAGATATTTAGTAGAGACATTTATAAAATCATAAATCGATAATTTTAAATTACAATTTGAATCACTCTAACAACATTCAAAGATCTCATGCGTTATTCTGTGGGCAAGTTTTCCTTTTTTTTATGATAAAAATAAATAATATAAAAAAATGTTATACAAATGCAAACACAGACACAATTAGACATAGAATGATGATTTCTTATTTAAATCAAATTAATGAGAATAAAAAACAACTGCTAAAAGCCGAGAACAGCAAGAAATTTCTAAACTAGTTTTTGTTGACTTAAAAAAAAAATATGTATATTTTTTAGAGTTTAAAGAACTTTGTTTTTTGACTAAATTATTGTACTTAAAACCAAAAATATGAATATTTTCTAGCAGAGCCATACGAGGTCTGCTCAAAAAGTTTCCCGAATTAAACAATTTTATGAATGAATATTCATTCTTTGTGCACTTTAAAGTAATCCCCATTAGTTATATAGCTATGCCAAAATGTCACTTTTGTGATCTGGTTCAGCTGCTCCTTCGTTGCAGAGGGAAAATCACAAAGGCTCAGGTCTGGGGAAGCATTAGTGTGTTGTCCTTGGGTTGGGTGGGAAATAAAATGAATGTTCACGTAAATTACAGTTTGCGATACTTTTTGAACAGCCCTCGTATATAAATTCAATTAAATAACATTACCAATAATTCAATCATTTTTACGGTTTTTTCACTCATTGTCAAATCATCGCTGCATGAAACAATTAATTATTAAATAAAATAAAGTTAACTTAACAAGTAATTTTAATATTTCATTGAATTCCATTGCTAATATATATATATTAGATATTTATATATATAGATATTTATATATATATATATATATATATATATATATATATATATATATATATATATATATATATATATTATATTTGATATAAAAGAAATATGATTCACTCAAAGCATTTGCATTTCGAAGATCATAAAATTTGTCGCTTGCCTCGCCGTCGGGACACTAAATGTTGACAACGGGACAGGATAACGCATGAATAGTATAACAAAATATGATCAGATAATAATTAATATAATATGTATAAGTAGGGAAAAGCTGCGCAAAACGAAACCGATATAAATAAAACCAGAGATTTAATATACAATTAAGGTAAATAATATAAAATTGTTAGGATACGACTCGTAATATAATAGCCGTTCAAATGCAATTATTTAATTTATGATAATCAAGCAATCAATCGATCAATCAATCAATCCAGCATAAACTATAACGAAAACAAAGAAAAAAGAAAACGAACTCTGCGACGCTGAAGAAATATTTCTAGGAAGCTTTCGAAATGGAGAGTTTACAATTGCGCGAATTCGGCTTTACACCGTTACACTTCGCTCTCGCTCTCTCTCTCTCTCTATCTCTTTCACTCTCTGCTTCATTTTCTCTCTATCTCTCTCTGTCTGTCACTCTGTCTTTTGTATGCAATCTATCTGTCTATCTTACTCCCATTCAATTTCCTTACTGCATCAACTGAACGAAGCCAAAAAGGAAACTGATCGAAACAACTCTGCGGTGCGAATGTTGAGCATGTTGTGTTGAGCATGGCATTTAGATACCCTGTAAATGCCTTATACTTCAACTTGAAGTTTGCAACTGGCAGTTAGTTTATGTTGGAGACATTTTGGGGAGAGTTTTTATACTACTCAGCAATATGTGTGTGTGTGTGTGTGTGTGTGTGAGAGAGAGAGAGAGATTGATTGTGTGAGTGTGTGTGTGGGAAGCAGAGTTTTTTTGATCACGTTTCTGCCGCACGAGTCCAGCGCCTGCAGCTAACGAAGAATCAACCGATAACCGATAAACGATAACCGATACCCGATTACAAGCAAATTAAACAGCAGCAACAGGCGATGCAGATGAAGAGAAACAGAAGAATAAACAGAAGAAGAAGAAAATGAAAATGATGAGGATTAAAAATATAAAAATGATATAAAGAAGGCAGCCGTTCGTTCAATTTCTTGTTCAGGGAAATCCGGCAGAAACTTTATCGCAACACTAATTACAACAATCCAACCAAAAATAATAAGAAAAAAAATATATAAAAAAAAATAAAAAAAAATATACATATATATATTTTTACTTTATTCTTCCTCCCCTTCCCCTTTCTTAGCAATTTAGGTGCTCAATAATACTATATAGTCAAATATGTAACCATTTTGAGTGCTATAAAATGCAAAAAAAAAACAAAAAATCAAAAAATACAAATAAAACAATTTCTAGTCAAGAAAATTTCCCAATTACAAAAATCAAGATCCAAGCCAAATATTATCAAATTTAAATTTAAATCAGCCAGCAAAAAGGCAACGCAATGCGATTAGCAAAACGAACACACACAAAGACAGCTGATTTGGAACGCAATGAAAGCAAATAAATATATATATATATATATACAATATATATATATATATACTGAATACAATTCTAAATATTATAGACAACGATATATACATGCATACATACATATATGTGCATATATATATACACCTACATATATATACATATATCGTCACGAATATCGTCAGGGGTCGATCACCCTTCTATTACAACAACAAGAAACACGCATGTATATATATATATATATGTATATATACACAAACACCCAGACATCAAATGGCCAAATGGAAAACTGCACGGGAGCAGCTCGGGAAGGAGTCTCCAACGGGAACTACAGCCAACCCCAGCCAGCGACTGACACAGCGACAGCACGAGAGCCACAACAGCATGGATCCAGCATCACGTCTTATGCACCACTTATTTAGGGTACTGGTGATAAAAAAAAAAATACAAAAAAAAAAGACCAACAAAATACTGAAAAAAAAAATATTGAGAAATTCAACCATTGATCTCGTTTGACACCATTTATATATATATATGTCTACCATTATAATTAACTTTAAACCTAGCTTTATACATACACACACACACACATACCCACACACACACACCTACATACATTTTTTTTTAAATTCACAAATAACTGAAATAACACGTGCATCAAACATTGATATAGGTATATAACCATATATATATATATATATACCATTTACATAGATATATATATATCATTAAATTTGTGAAAGTCTCTTTCATTAATGCCAGCATCTTGGGTTTTAGTAATATATACTCGTATCGATCATGCCACATTGATCATATGCTTTTAATTGTCATCGATTTATCGATAAGTCGATACAAATATGCATTCCATGCTTCGCATAGCCCAAATCCCATTGACAAAGCGATCAATCATTTGTAAACGGTAATGGACCCAAATTTTTTTCTTATTATCGATTTATCGATTCTTTAGCAGGCTGTTTCGTCATCAAATATGTAAGCCCCACTCATCGCTGCATTCAACTCATGCACAAAACTCTTGCTGTTGCTATCAAGTATTTGGCACAACGCTAGGCAATCGATAGAATAATCGAACTATCGATAATTCGCTTCCTGCTGTTCAGCTGCACAATTTAGACTCGAAAAGCATCCAGAATATTGTTTAACGCTCTTTACGAGGTAGTGATGGGACTCACCTAGAACGAGTGGAATATTAAGCATTGCTCGCACTTCAGAGCCTCAGCATTACGCCTAGAGAAATATCAACTACGACTAAACTACGTTTAAACAGCTGGTGGTGGTGCAGTTGAACTAGTTTCTAATTCAATCAAGTACAATAGTTTCCTTAGACAATGTGAACGGTGTGGTTAATGTTTAACACTTACAACTCTAAGTTAAGGGTATTCCTCCTTCTCATTTTATATATATATATTTTTTTTTTCATTTTTTATTTACTTGCCTAGCCAGGCTATCATTCAGCATTGAGCATTCATACTTCCATACTAACCAGAACCAGCTATTTACACAACATAGCAAATATACTACATACACATATAAATTACACACCCGAAATAATATATATTTATACAGATATATATATATATATATATATTTAATAATGATAATAATATTAAGAATAAGATCTAACTAGAACTTATTAGCATAACTATTTCATAAGAACATTTTTTCAACTAGCCCTAAGTTGTTGCCCTGGAAATTGCTTTAATCGCGAAAGATAGACAGAGAGAGCGAGAGAGTGAGAGCGAGCGAGAGGAGGGACAGAGAGAGAGCGAGGGAGTGAGAGTTTGTGCTGTGTAAAAGAAAGTTGGTTGTTTGTTAAAGGCATCTGGTTCAACGCATCGTGTGTGCTGTACTCGCATTGTACTTGGCACATTTGTGAGTGTGAATCGCGAGTGAATCATATATATATATATATATATATATAAGATCGGTTGGGCATATTGTAGCTTTGTGTGTGTTTTTGGGGCGTGCTTGAGAATATCTGATATAAAGATTTTGAATGAGTTTGACTAAAGCAATTTCCAATACGTATACATATATATATATAACATATAACATATATATATATTTATATATATATATATATATATATAGCTTGTATTATCTAGGCACTAATTGCCATAAGACTTAACCAACCACATAGATATTCAAGGCCTAGACACCACATGACCCCCTTTTATATTAAACAACAGATTTTCATTTTAATATACATATAAATCTAGCAATCCAGCAACCTAGCTAACTATCCGTCTATCTTTCTATATGTCTATATAGCCAAACTTAGTGGTAGTTAAAATCGAGAGCATTTCTTAATTTTAGTCTTAGTTCTAAGCTCTTTCTTAGTCACGTAAGCCATAGATCGTAGTTATAAGTATTTGCTCTCTAATTTTAACTACAGTTGGCTGTCTCTCTCTTCTCTCTCTCTCTCTCACACACACACACCCTTTCTCTTTCTCTCTCTCTCTGTCTCTCCGTCTCTATCTCCAGCCAAACCCTAGCTGTAAGCGCTTCACTCAGCCCCGCCCTCTTTTGACCTATGTGATAAATTTATATATATATTTATGCATTTTCTTCAATTTTATATTTGTTTATAAATCTTTATTTTATGATTTTTTATTGATACGTTTTTTGTTTTTGTTTGACTCGACCAACCCCTGACAACCCCTCACACCCCCCTCTACGCACCCGTTACCAACCGAAACAGCCGCGCGATTGCCACAGCCTGTGTACTAAATATGTGTCTCTTGTACTTGTAGATGTTGGCAGTTTCATGGACACGAGCAACGCGTCGGCCGGCAGCAACGCCGCCGCCGCCGCCGCCGCCACCTGGGGCACCAGTGGCAGTAGCAATGCAGTGGCAGCCGTTGTTGCCGCTGGTGCCAGCGGCGTCGTGGAGACAAAGCATGAACTGGACCTGGGCATGATGCCACCACCGATCACGACACAGATACCAATGGGATTGCGACGATCTTCGCTGTCGGGCGCCACGCCCATGATAACGGATCAGCAGCTGGTGCATCTGAGCGCCGATGCGGCGCTCAAGAGCGAGCTGCTCGACGAAAGCAGCTCGCTGAGCCCACGCACAGCGGACGCGCTCCACTCGCCGGAGGCGCTCAATCCGTGCAGCCCCAATGCGCTGCAGTATCATGCGCACTATGCGCGCGAGGGCAGCCTGGACACGATCATGTACGATCAGTCCAATAGTATGCCCGGCTTTCCGGTGCCCGCCGCAGCCACTGTTGACCTTGATCCAGCCGCGGTGGCCGTGGCCGTTGGGCTGGCCGTCAAGCACGAGATTATCCAGCATGTGGTGCAGCAGCAGCAGCAGCAGCAGCAACAGCAACACCAGTCGCCGCAACAGCAGCAGCAGCAAAATCAGCAGCAACAGCAACAGCTAGAGCAGCAGCTGGAGCAGCAGCTAGAGCAACAGCTGGAGCAGCAGCAGCAGCAACAGTCGGCGGCGGCGGCGGCCAACGTGCACAAGTTCATTGATGATCTGACCAAATCCACGTCTGTGGTCAATAGCAACGGCACCAGTGAGCCGGCGCTCTTCACCAGTTCGGCGGACATCGACCACGCCCTCACGGACATACTGCAGCAGAAAGTGGGCGTGCTAACGCACACACACCAGCACACGCACACACACCAGCACTCCAATGGACCGGCGACAGCTGCGCCGAGTGTGCTGAAGCGCAGCCTCTCCATCAGCAGCAGCAATTCGAATTCGAGTTCGCTGTCGGGCAGCGAATCATCGCCGAATAGCTCGCCGCTAACGCAGGACATTATACTGAATTCGGAGCCGGCGGCAGCGCTGGGCGCCGGGCTGCCACTGCAGCAGTTGGCAACGGTGCCCGGCGCCGCTGCGGCTGCTGTGGCCAACGCCAGCGGTGCTCTGTCCACCGACATCATTATGAATCCGGCTGTATCGCCATCGACCATACTCTGTTCGGCAAACGGCGCTGCCACAGCGGTGGTGGCCAACATCTTAGCGCCCCACCAGGTGACCATGGCCAATTCGATACTGAACAATATTGCGATGCAGGCGGAGCCGACGCGTCAGGACGCCGCTGTCGCTGCCTTGGCCCTGAGCAACATTATGATGAGTCCACCGAATGCGGCCGCCGGTGTTAGTGTCGATGTGGGCGATACGCTGCCGCCAACGCCAGCCGTCATGCAGCCAGAGGTGGCTGCCACGGCCACCTCGACGGCGGTCAGCAATATGATCATCAAGGCTGCAGCCGATTTTATAACCACACAGGAACAGGAACAGCATCACTATCATCAGCAGCAGCACGCGCATGCCCACTCGCATACGCATTCCCATCCGCATCCACATTCGCATCCGCATCCACACACGCATCCCCACCCCCATCCCCATCCGCATCCCCATCCCCATCCGCATCCCCATCCCCATCCGCATCCACAGCAACAGCAGCAGTCAGCTAGTGCTGCTGCCAGTGGCGGTGATCCGCTTGTCAATCTGCTGTTAAACCACACGACGCCGGAAACCGTCGTCGTTGAGGCAGCAGCTGTGGCTGCTGCCGCCGCAGCCGGCTATCCAACGCTGTCCGGTGTCCATCTGCCGGTCGTGCCGCCCACACCACAAGAATCTCTCATTGTTGCGCTGGCCACTGAGAATGCACTGCAAAAGTCTGTGGCCACCGCGGCCATTACCACCAACGGAGCGGTGATGACCCAGCAGGCAACGACGCCCAGCAGCACCGGCAGCATTCTGCCAGCGGCCGTTGGCGCTGTCGCTGCAGCCGCCGCCGTCGCCGTGCAACCGCCCATACCGCAGGAGCTGACATCAATGTCCGATCAGGACCTAATCAGTTACATTAATCCGAGCACCTTCGATCAGCGTGAGTATCCCAATGAACCAGAATTAACACGGAATTAGAATTGTAATCGCAGTCTTATATTATACATATATACGAATACACCGGAGTGATCTGAAAGAGCTATCATCTCTTCAATCACAATTAAGTTCAAGTTCCATCAGGCAATTCAGGGCAGGTATATATGAGTGGAGGCGATCAAGGCAGCTCCATTCTTACGTCCGTCAGCCACTAAGGCTAGAGACCTGAAGTAACTCACCCACAAAAGCTGAACGTTTCAAGTTTACTGTATAAACTGCTGTGATTTGGAATATTTCAGATTGCTGAGTTTGACTTTTGTATACCTCCACCAAATTTGGAAAAATATAGACCAAATACCTGAGACTAGAGACTAGAGACTAGAGACTAGAGACTGGAGATTAGAGACTAGAGACTAGAGATTAGAGACTAGAGATTAGAGAATAGAGACTAGAGACTAGAGACTAGAGACTAGAGACTAGAGACTAGAGACTGGAGATTAGAGACTAGAGAAGAAATTACATCTATCACAAAAATTATTCAAGAATTAATTTCTCATAGAAGTGCAGGGTTCGCGGTATCCTCTAGTCGGGCATTTCCGACTAGAGCATTTTTAATGCATCTGATTATCGTTAATAATAATATTAATTGATTTCTTTTCTTTCTTCTTTTGCAGTTTAAACGGCAACAGATCAACAAATTAAACTATTGGGTTATTTTTAAACAAATAAGGGGAAACCACACAGGCCTAATCCTAAGCGTAAAAATAGAAAGAATTAAAACACACACACACACACACACACACAATTACACTGTTTAATGTGGACCAAATGTTGTCAAATTGGTTTCTTTGTTGCTTGACTGTTAGCAAAACTGATTGCCAGCAATGAGAATGGGCGTTTAAAATCGCCTCAAACACACACACACACACACACACGCACACACATTTGTATCGTTGTAAGCACACTTGTTAAGCTGTAGACCCTATAGATATACTTCTATTTTTTTTGTTCTCGTTAAATCTAAATTGATTTTTTTTCAACAAAAGTCAAATTATCTCAAAAATGATAACGACTGCCATATAAATACATGATTACAAAAGAATAAAAAACAAAAACAAAAACAAGCAATCGCTCTCAACTAAATAATAATGCATAGACAACGCACAAGAAAAAAACAGAAGAAAAGCAAAGAAAATTTTCAAAAATATATAAATTGAGAGAAATGAACAATTAACTACAGTTTTCAATTAATCAATTGATTTTGCAATTTTTTTGTAATTTGCGTATTATTATTTTGTTGCGTTGATGTCCCGAAACTTTCTGAAAGTTTGAAGTCTGATTTGATATACGAACTATTATTTTTTTGTTTTTGCAAATATTGAACTATATATATATATATATATATATGTTTATTTATAAAAATATATGTATATACATATGCTTAATATGTATTTCTATTATTGTATACTCTTTTTTTTTGTTGTTTTGTTTTGTTAAGGGGTTTGCAAAATCGAAACGTAAATTACATGTAAAAATATTTATAGCCTACGAATATGAATATGCGAAAATTCCAAAAGACTTTTTTATTTAAAACAATGCAGCAAACGAGGAGCAGAACATTTTATTTTCATACTGTTCGATGTTTTAAATATTTCAATTATATCGAAATGACGAGGTAACAGCACACAAATAATTAATGTTTTTTTTTTCTAATTTTAAAATGTTATTTTTATTGATTTTTAGTAGTTCTTAAATGTAATCGTAGTTCAAAGGCCACCAGTCAGAGTTATCTAAAATATATATATATACATATGCATACATATTTAATGTATGTATGTATGCTGTTTGCCAGAAATATAAATATAACTATGTGCTAGTGTTTTTTTTTAAATGCGCATGGCTTAGTATTACCAGACGCGTAAAAACAGAGCCACAGAATATACAATTTCATTGATTACCACGAACGGCCACAAAGAAAAATATATAAATATATAAATATATATATATATACATATATATAACAAAACAATTATAATCTGAATTTTGAATGGGTTCAGTGTATAAGGCCCCTCTTGAATATGCATTTGTACACCTGTACCTACAATTTGTTGTACATTATTTATACATAAATATTTATTATATATAAAAATAAACGCATAGAATTTGACGAATTTCGCCGTGCATCAATTGAAAATGAATATAAATAAATAAAAAACAAAAACACGCTGCAAAAATTGATTGATATTTATATATATATATATATAAATTATAATTTAAAATAAAGTCCATAGCTAGATAAATGATATTTCAAGCAACAAAACCAGATAATTCATAGACCAATGTTTTTAGGTGTTGCGCAAATGTATTAAAGACAATCCCAGAGATTGCATATATTCCTCATAATTACACATCTACAATCATATTTAAAAAGAGATTAAGGTTGATACATCATTCCTCTGCCAGCCATATATCGCCTCATATATATAGGTGATATATATTATATGTATGTGTGTACATTTACATCGACAAGGCTGATGTATATTTGATGCCAGTAGACGAAAGTAGAAATTCAATTTCACATAATTGTTATCAAAATCAATGTCATTAAATTCAAATCGTTCCCAATGAATATATGTTGAAATGTGAAATAAAATGGAATTGTTTTTTTTTTTTTGCTATTGGTCCAGAAATGCTCTGCATATTTCTTCATTGTTAAAAAGGGAATACAAAAATTTACATAAGGAACTTGCTTGCTACCTTTTTGCGCACACACACAATTTGCTATCTCCTTCCATTCCACTAACTGTGAACGTGTCTATTTGATGTGGTGTGAACTGAAAGTAAAAGCACAAATAATGAAGAAAAATAATAATAATAATAATGCATGTTGTAGGATTGGTAGTTACTCGAAGGGGATTTAGGAAAACAAAAAAGAATTCAAGGGGCCCAGCCTCATATTTAGATGCGTAAGCCTATACGCTTCTTTGGTGTAGTGGGTTTGGGCGCCAATTTCGGTTTGCGTCCGCGTTGATATCGGTGAGCGCTTTGCTCCATATTTGCGAAGCCCGCTTCCAAATCTGAGCCATTTTGCACTCGATTCTCCTTCATGATCAGACCTGACCAAATCCAGTTTTGTTGCACAGAGCGTAACAACTCCTCAGGCATCGATGGCTAAGGCGAACCATTGTCCACATAAACAATCATTAAGCACATACAATTGATACTTACACGTATTGTGTTTGGTGGCACTGACATTATCAAATGTTAAAAAACTTACAAATAATTATTATTCTTTTTTGTAGTAGAATCGGTAAAATATTTATAGTGAATGGCAGCTAAACATGAACAACGCTAGCTCTACGTATAAATGGCCTACTATGTGCCAGACAAATTCCTTGCCAACGAACTAAAATTTCAATATGTACTCTGTTGTGGGGAGAGCGCAGCGGGCTCGATGCGATTGCCGTATCCAATCCGTGCTGACAGCCTGTACGGGCTGTCCAGTGAAATGTTTCTGATACCAGTGCTCAAAGTCTTGCCGGTTTAACCGACTAGGGCAGACAAGCACAAGAGTCGGATTCTGATGCTGCGTTTCGCTGACCAACTGCCCGCCACGCTGAATAAAGAGTAGCCTGGCCAGCTCGTCCGCATCGCGATTATACATGCAGGCATAGTGCTTGGAGAAGATGTTGGGGTTGGCACTACCAAGCAGCTGTTGCTCCAGTTTTTCCAACTCATGCTTATTCACATCCAAAGAGTCAAGTTCTGTTTCGCTGATGTCTTGCAGCACTTCCTGCAGCTCATCGACGCTGCCAAACAAGTCCGTAAAACTATCACCGAACTTATCAAAGCTTTTCGCAAACTGCAACTGCAGCGCTTCGGTAGCGGACAGCACATCTCTGGGCCGCAAGTCGATCTGCTGCTTGTTAGCCACACGCAGCAACCAATCCAAGCGTAAAATGTCATTTGTGCGTGGCTGCTGTTGCGTCAGACGTTTCACCAAGTAAACGGGATCACCGGCTATGCAGATACACTTTGGATCGTTAGGCAACGGATTCTGGACAATGGTGCCTCCATTCTGAGCGGCCAGCGCCTGAAGCTGCTGCTTGCTATGCCCGCGTGAACCACTCAATATGCAAAAAGTGAAGCCCTCGAACAGCTGTGAGTTGCTTTCCAAGGGCTGTACATCGTAGCGTTTCTCATAGGCAGCTAATCCGAGGCGATTGCGTTCGGCAGGCGTCATCTTTTGTCGTTTGCGTTCCGTCGTGAAGTCACTGAGGCTTGCCTGCCGCTTGTTCAATTTCTTGATGCCACCGCGACCCTTTAAAGATCACGTTGATAAGTATAAATTAAATTTCTGATATTTGAATTCTTACCTGACACAGTTGTGTATATTCCTCAAGCGTCATGCACTCGTGCCACACCTTGTCAGCGCGCATCAACTGAATGCGCGGAAAGTGTAGCGACTTGGGTGTGGAGTAGGCACCATTGGGTGATAAGTCGGCTGCCTTTACTTGTAATATTATAGATTTTTCGGGCTGAATCCATACGTCGGGAGCGCCCTCCTTTTCGTTGGGCCTGTAGTGATACCACAGTGGCGGTGGCTCCGTGCTCGCATTACGCCAATGTGGCTTCAATTCATTATGGAGGACGCCACGTTGTCGCGTATTATTGGCCACACATCCAATACTAAATACCTCATCTCGTTCGGTGCCGCCACCCGGTTTCAGCACGCCCAACAAAAATGTTTCGATAAAAGTGCGTTTACGATTATAAAAGCCGCCAATGATCAGCACGTCGAACTCAGTGATGAGACCCTCTATATACTACAGCAATCGAATAAATCAGATATGGATTACAAAAAGATTTTGTTAGTTTGTAAGAATCTCTTTGAGATGCAACTCACATCCGCCTTGTCCTTGTACCAACCACCGCCTACACGCACTCCCGGCTTATAAACTGAGTTTTGCTTCTTTAGCACAATACCCTCAGCATTAGAATCAAGCATCTGCTGGAACAGCGTGTTGAAATGATCAAGTGAGCTTATTTTCTGTGCCTTCATTATCTGCAGAATTCCCTGCTGCTCGGTGAGCAGCTCCTGCAGCTTGTAAGTTCGCTGTACATATGTCATATCCAGTAGACTCTCCCCGTTGAGATAGAGCAGGTCGTAGACCACAAAACAGGGTCTCCAGCTGCGCTCTGGTTTCAGATGTTTCACATCTGTGTTTTCGCCCTTCTCGCGATACCGCATCTGCTGTGTATCCCATATCATCATTTCGCCATCTAGTATAATCGACTCCATGCCCAGAGGCAGCAGCGTGCGTAGATGTGGCGTCAAAGTGCCGATTTCATAGCTACCGCCAAAGCTTTTTGTATAATCGACACCGTTGCGGGATATGTACTTAAACATGCCGCGAGCGTAGTGAAGTTGAAAGCGTTCGCCATCCATTTTCCTTTCTAAATAAAGCACATCCGACTCCATAAGACTTTCGATCTTGCCTGGAAATCTTTCGCACAACATAGGCCGTATAAGCTGAAAGGGTTCGATGATTGTGTTCAAATTGATAACTGCGCTGGTGCTGCTGCTGGTGCCTCTGCCAATGCCAGTGCTTCCAGACGGCGCTTCCTGTCCTAGCTTGTTATCTGCCAACAGTATACAAATGCGCTTCAAATCTGAACAACGCTGATACATATCCTTTGCCAAGGGATGAAGCAAGCCGAAAATTTTTTGCTCGCCAATGCCCAAGCCCATTGCCTTAAGCAGGATGCGTATCAGCCATTTTTGCTCTTCGGCCGAAGCCAGTTCCGTAAAGCGTGTCAGTTCCCGTTCTTTTACTACAGAGAAGTGCAGGAAGTAATTGAAGCGAAAATTTGCAGACGAATCCAGAAAAAAATAAAATACCTGTTGTATCTTCGCTGGCAATAATGTCCAGCATATCGTGGATTTGCTTAAGCGTCAGATTACTCGGCTCGTTGTGGCACCGAGGTTGCAGCACAGAGAACACCACATCTCCATAGTCACGAAATGAGGAGGCGGTACGATTCTGCAGGCGTATATATTCATTAGCTGACAAAGAAAACAATTATTTGGATGAAATGGTGTAAGCTTCCGGATTACTCACAATCTTTGGATACCTGTAATACGCGGGAATACAGTCGCCCTAGTGCAGTTATCTGCAAGCCATAGTTATCCCGTGAAGTATCTGCGCCAGGTAATAGAAGGCGTAGCACTGGGAAAAAGCTACTGGATCCGTCCTCTGCTTGATTTACCGTTAGATTGGCGCCTTGACGGAAAGACTCTCGATGCTTGCAGAAGGAGGTGTAATATCGCTTCAAAATGAGCTCCTTTCGTTGCGTATTTTTGGCTTCTTTAACTCTCTTCATCATCGTGCAAATATCACGAAATTTAATAGTACTCGAGATGTCCATGGTGCTCTATGATTTCACCATTGAGGATACAATTCGGCAAAAACAAGTCGCAACTTGCAACAGGCGGTAGGTCTTAAATATATCGATACATGACCCTTATCGATACTTTTGTCATGGTATATTCTTTGTATAAGTATTTGTCGAAAATACTAGAAACTCACTATAGTTTTACAACACTGGCAAAATAAGTATAATTTTTCTTCATTTGTCAACAATTCAGAGGTTTAACATAGGAAATTAAACTATTTACAAATACAATATGTTGTATTTGGAGGACTATTTAGAAAGTAAGTAGTACAGCATTGCGAATGCAAGGCAATTGCCACAATGTGCTAATAAATTTATGTTGCAGTGATTGAGCATCTGCCGCAGGAGCTACGAGACCGTTTCACAGAGATGCGTGAATTAGATCTTGCTGTACAGAGTGAGTAAAGCCAAAACTAAAAAAAAACATAAATAACATTCAGTATTCGAATACTAATGTTCATTGTTTTGCACATACACAGACGACATGGACTCGCTGGATAAGAAGTCACGTCTGTTCTTTCAACAGTGCAAACGCGGTGAGGTGCAGCATGATTACATTTTCACTGAATTTCGCAGCCTGCGCGGCAATTATTTCAAAGTTATGGAGGATGCCGATGAAAAAGTCGCCATTGCCACCCAAATACATGAGCTCGTCGAGCGGTATCTGCGTAGACTGGACAGCGAGCTGTTCAAGTTCAAGTGCGAGCTAGAGGCAGACAACAATGGCATTACTGAAATATTGGAAAAGCGTTCGCTTGAATTGGACGGCAACAATTCAACAGCTGCCACGGCCCTGCTGCTGAGTATTAATCAAAAGGAAAATCGTTATTATAACACAAGCAGCGCTGTCAACAGCAATTTAATATCTGGCAACATCAACAGTGCCGCTGGTATTATCACCAGCACGGGCAGCACCAGTGGTAACCTGGTTGTCAACAGCTCCGCGCTCAATAGTCTGTCCGGCAACAGTACGGCAACTGGTGGTCATCAGCGGCATCGCAAGTTGGAGAAGCGTCGTGAAACGATTTGCACAGTGCCCGTGCAGGAGAAGCGCGCTAATCTCAATCAATCGCTGCCTGTGGCCCCTGGCAGCAATAGTGGCAGTAGCATCGTTAATCCCGTTAGTGGCAACCATGTAAATACACTCACCACACATGCCACTCTGCCTGTGGCTCCGAGCAGTGCCAGCGTCAACAACACAGCTGTCGCTAGCGCTGTGGCCGCTAACATTGTGCGTCAGCTGCCTACGAATCTCACCGCTCATAGCGTGCTCAGCACTAACAGCAATAATGCAGCTGTAGCGGCGGCAGCAGCGGCAGCAGCAGCAGCTGCTGCAAACAATTCCGTAAACGTTGGCCCAGTGACAGGCACTGGCACTGGCGCAAGCATTGCTGCCAGCCATGGTAACACCACGGTTAGCTATAATCTACATCAGTTTGGTGGTGGTGGCGCTGCCTCCAGTGCCATTGCGGCTGCCGCAAGCCAGGCGATTGTTGCCACTCAACAAATGCCACAAGGAAGACGCACTGCCAGCTTGAAGGCTAGCTATGAGGCCATTCATGGTGCAGGCGTGGCTGGCAGTACAGAGTTCTGGTCAGCAGCAGCGGCACATAATAGCAGCATCCAACCAGCGACTGGAACGTTGGCTACTAGCGTGCAGCATCATCCACCCCAACAACCACAACCACAACAACAACAGCAACAACAGCAACAACCACCACCACAGCAGCAGCAGCAGCAGCATCATCAGCATCAACACCACCAACAACATCAACAACAACAACAACCGCATCAGCCGCAGCAGCAACAACAGCAACAACAACAACAGCAGCAGCAACAACATCAGCAACAGCAGCAACAACATCATCAACATCAACAACATCAACACCAACATCAACACCAACACCAACACCATCAGCATCAGCATCAACATCAGCATCATCATGAAAAGAAGCATAAGAAGTAAGTTAAACTCGACGCTTTCCTCGGAGCAATTTACTAATTGTTTGTTGTGTCTTTCAGAAAATTGAATACTAGCATTTCAGTACCAGGTGGGCTGCCCTACAAATTTTGGGATGGCTCATCATCGGGCAATTCGATTGCATCGTCATCATCATCGATAAGTGTTGACTCGGTAGACATGCTTTCAACTGCTTCCGCCACTCCCATACAGCATGCCAGTCTTAGCCAGGGCACACTTGCCATCAATCCACCAACGAATCAATTGGCAACTAACCACACAACAGCTGCTGTAGTAGCCACTGCAGCTCCTGTTACTCTGCCTACTGTTAACAACGTAACGGCAACGGCCATTGGGCTACCCAGCGCTGCGCTGGCTCCGGGCGCTAATCTGACCATTAGCGAGGCCGGTTTGGTAGTCGAGCAAACCAATGAAGGCGAATGGTCCTATGATCCCAACGAGCCGCGCTACTGCACCTGTAATCAGGTCTCTTACGGTGACATGGTTGCTTGCGATAATGATGCTTGCCCCTACGAATGGTTCCATTATCCATGCGTCGGCATCACACAGCCGCCCAAAGGCAAGTGGTATTGTCCCAAGTGCACCGCTTCCATGCGGCGTCGTGGCAACCGGAAGAACTGAGCTCCAATTAGAGGTGAACTTGTTAGAGGAGATTTAACTTACTTATCATAGATCCGTTATATAATATATTCTAATATTAGATGCCTGAAAGTAATAAATAATTGATCAGCGGAGCGAAAATTCAACACTTTCTAATCTACTCTAAGTTTTGCTCTGACGATATAAAAGGCAAGTTGTTTGGCAGACAACAATTTCCTAAGAACTCCAATTTTTGTTTTAAATTTGTATCTATAAATATCGATGAAGTAGTGAATTTAAGTCATAACAATTTCATTTATTGAATTAAGTTTTGTATTTTGAATTATTTACTTAACTATCGATAGCCATTTAATATATCGTTTTTTGTGAACGTTAGATGAGTATATCGCAACCGAAATGCACATCACTGACGTTAATGTGACGGCAGCAGCAGAATTGGCTTTGTCCGAAAACAAACTGCACAAGAAGTATTTTGCGTCGTGCAAACGTAAATCAATACCGTAATTGTATCTACGGTGGGAGAAATAATAGAGACGGTCATAAAACAACTCATTAAGCACTCCCAACGGTTATAAATAACGGCCTCAAAATTGGCAAAATACGGAAAAACAAGAAAATGAGCTATAATGAAAAAAGCGAGGCCATCACTAAAGAGGAATGGCTGCAACGGCTGGAGCAGTTCCCATTCAAGCAGGCGGACATGAATCGTCTAATTATGAACTACTTGGTGACAGGTAAACAAACTGCAAAACAAACCAAAAACGAAAACAAAAGAGAAAAACAATCATTTGCCATTTTTCGTATCAATTATGTATGTATATCAAATCTGACTAATTACAGAGGGGTTCAAGGAGGCAGCCGAAAAGTTTCAGCATGAAGCTGAGCTGGAGCCTAGTGTTGAGCTAAGCAGCTTGGATGATCGCATATTGATACGGGAGGCTGTACAGGCAGGCCGAATTGAAGAGGCCACTCATCTAGTTAACCAGTTGCATCCGGACTTGCTGGGTAGTGAAATCTATTTGTTTTTCCACTTGCAGCAACTGCAGTTAATTGAGTTAATTAGAGCGGGCAAGGTAGAGGAGGCCTTGGTTTTTGCTCAGTCCAAGCTATCCGAGTCGGGTGAAGAGATCCGTTTCGAGCTGGAACGCACTCTGGCACTGCTGGCATTCGAAAAACCGCAAGAGAGCCCCTTTGCCGATCTATTGGAGCAATCGTACAGACAGAAGATTGCCAGTGAGCTTAATTCGGCAATACTGCGCTGCGAGCACAGCGAGGATTCGACACCAAAAATGATGTTTCTCCTGAAGCTAATACTGTGGGCACAATCCAAGCTAGACGGCCGTTCGATTAACTATCCGAAGATGAAGGATCTGGAGACTGCGCAGGTTGAGCATAAATAAGAGACCCAAACGAGATAAACGGGGCTAACGGATAAACAATAACAAGTGTATAAGAGTGGGCGGGCGTGGCAGCGTTAGAGTGAATGAAGTATGTGCAACCAAGGCAAAGTAATACCATTTCTATATCTATTTCTATATATATATATATTTTATAAATGTATGCATTAGGATTTTATGTTGCAAGATTGAAAATATCTGAAGCTGAATTTGGTTTCGAACAACAATTATTGATCGCTTTTCATTTTATTATTAAATAACCTAATGCTGCAGGATTGATCGATCACCAGCCGAAGATGAGATCCATGGCCTTGTTCATCAAGCCGCTGCTTTTCTGAGGCACACTGCGGTTGGGCGATACGTGAGTGTCATGCTGGGCGATATTGTAGGATTGCTGGGTTAGTGATCGCACCTTCGGTCTGAATACATCAGCATCTGGCTCGACTATTTTCGCGTTCTCCTTGTCGATGATGCTTTCGTCAGTGCAACGTGTGACGCCCACCATAACATTGCTGGCAATAACCTTCAGATTGTAGTTTAATGCCTTATCGCTTTCGATGCGCGATGCGAAGCGCACATGCATCCAGTTGCCATTTTGTGGAGCATGCACCACATCCACAATTGTGCCACACATGGTGAAGTGCTGTAGTATCATGGAACTGGCTCCAGGGGAAAACCCAAAGATTGTTACCCAAAAATCACCGTTACGTCCCTGAGGTGTGTGCGACATGGTTAACGGCGACACGTTAGCGCCCAGCGGCGAGCAAAGCGCGCGCATTGAGGCGTTGGCGGCATTGGGCGCATTTGGAACATACGAATCATTTAGCTGCGTCGTTGGCGGATGGCAGCTTTGATTTAAGCTAAAGTTCGAATTGTTTAAATGGGACGTTTGCAGCATGCCCAAATGTGTGCGCTGTGGGGTGCCGCACAGCTGTTCACTGCGCAGCGAATCAAATAGACCCTGAGTTGGTGGACCAGCTTGATGACTGGTATTTGATCCACTACCATTGCCAACAGTACTACCACTACCACCACCAGCGCTAGTGGTGCCAGCAAATAGCGTACGCGTTCCCATTGCTGAACGATTTAGCTGTTGTGGATTATTGTAGCCCGTTTCCTGAGGAGTGTTATTGCTTGGAGACGTAGCTGCAAATGAAAGGTATAAATATGTTATTACTACCATATATGCCGAACAGAGCCTTTTCGGATGCTTACCGAAGCTCACATTGTAGCGTCCTAGCTTTGGTGAGAGCGTGTTGTTATGGGGCGTCATTGCCTGCGAGTCGCCCATGAGAAAAGGCGGCAAATATTGGCTTTGATTGCTGCCAGGACTGCTGACGGGACTACCAAGTGTCATAGGCTCCATTTTTAAACAAATTAACTATCCAATTCAAAACAAAACAAATTTAACTACATACAATATGCAAACAAGAGGCACAACTGACGCCGCTTTTTAAAAAACCATGCACAGCATTTAATTCTGCCTATGGTTTCGAACACGACTGTTGCAACGAAAATGATCGAATATTTCGATAATATCAGTTTGCAATGTTGACTACAATACCGAAAGTCGAGGGGACCATGCGTTTGTGGTATTTTTTAGTACAAGTGCAAACATTGTATGGCGACGATCATATCGATAGTGTGGGCATCGATTGTCAGTTTCATTTTAGACATCCCAAACAACAGAGCTGCAGGGAAGGCGCGTGTGGCCTGTAAGCCTTTTCTTTTTTTTTTTGTTACTATTCAAAAGAATATATTTACAGTACGCGACGCGTTATAACAAGTGTATGTGTATGTGAATACTTTGTTGCTGCGTTAATTGAAACATTAATGCGCGCTAGTGCATTGAATAATAAAAAAAACAAACAGCGCCCCTGCCCTTCACACAGCTCCACAATAATATTTTTCTATATAACTTCAAATATCAAGTGCGCTGCTACTTTGCCAAATTGTAAAAGGGTGCTAACGTTATGTGGAGTCCAACACATTGCAGTGTAACTGGTAAGTGCAGGTGTTACTCACTCACCATCTCTATCTCTCCTGTCAGCTGGTTATACTCATAAATGCCGTTGCATAAATAACATTTGAGAGGGGCCACTTAGACGCTCCTAAAATATCGCATTTAACGTCAAACTGGTTTAGTTATTGTAACTGTATGTGTGTATGTGTGTCCCGCTGAGTTAGCCTGCTTACGTATGTGTGTGTACAAAATCATAAAATTTAAGCGCAAAGCCAATTGAACTGCTGTTAAATACTATTAATTGGTCAAATTACGCATTGTGCTTATTTTTGTCGACGGCTTACGATTGGGGCTTCAGAAGAATAACAATATTAACGTACACTTACACAAATACATATTTATATTTGTGTGTTTTACATACAAACATGGTATATATGGTGGAGATTCTCTGCATGTGTGTGTGTGTTTATTTTTTTTGTGGTGAAAACCATTGTAACCTATTCAACATCTTGTTTAAAATTTCACTTTTCTGTTTTCGACGTTTTGAACGCATGACCCCCGCTCTGCCCGTTGCTGCTGCTGCTGCCGCGACTGCTGCCAGTTTTCCCGGTTTTCTCTTTTTGTTAGCCCATACTTTATCTCGACTCAATTGCAGTATCAGTAAATTACGTTGATAAGATTATGTATTTACTTGCCATTTGCCATTTTCATTGCCTCAATGCGATCATTTTTGTTATTTATATTTTTGTTTCTTTATTTTTTAAGTGGCTTACTCATCGCGCGTGTCTAAAAGCCAACACCAATTTTAACTCGCAATTCTAACTGCACAAACACACACACACATTCGCTCCCCCTATTTCGCTTTTTCTCCAATATTCTCTTGTTTTCGTTGATTGATTCGCTAATGGCGCATGGCGCGCATATTTGATTTATTTTGATTCCGCCTTTTCTTCTTTGTCGCATTCCTTCACATACGTGCGCATATTTGTATGTGTATAACTGTGTACATAATATGCATTTTTGGTGGGCTTTTTTTGTTTTGCCCATCGTATTGGACATGTTTACGTTTTTGTTTTGCTTTCTTCATGGCTGAATGTCAATGAAAAATCAGCGCAAAATATCGCAATCGTGACAAAATTGCAAAATCTACGTCAAGAAAAAAATTGTCCCTCTCTATCTCTCGCTCGCTATCTTTTAGATTATTTTTGCTAATATTGTTCATAATTATTAAATCCAATTGCAATTACAGTAAACATGTGCAATTGCATTAATGCATATGTGAGTGTGTCCATTTGCATATGCGACTGACTATATGCATACACACATACATATGCACAGATGAATAGGTAAATGACTCACGAAATGTTGAAAAGCTCACGACTGCAAATAAAGCAGATAATGAGCACACACGTATAATTATACACGTATACATACACACACTGATAAGGCTCTTTGTAAATACTCTCTCACACTCACTCACACACACATAGCTAAACAGCTCTTAAGAGAACTGTCATCACCAATCAGGCTGCTCGTAATTTGTTTTTGTTTTTGCTTATGTTTGTCCTTTTGCGTCTGCTTCTCTACCTTGAACTTGACGAACTGCTCAGCTTAGCTGTTGCGGCTCTCCAGAGGCTTGACACACACATATATATATATGGCTTTATGCTTGTATTTGTGCATTTGCATAGAGGAAATCACCGTTCGCTAAGTAGCCGAAACTGCTATGCTTTTCGATACCTCAAGTAACATGAAATGAAAATATAATTAAGAGTGGGTGAATCATAGGTTCTAGTATGCCATCAATATGAAGATAAATATTTGTATTACTGTTTTATCACTAATTTTAGTGCAGCTGCCATAAGTACGACACACTGAGATATTGGCAAACAAATAATGACACGTTGCATGATAGAAGAGACGACATAAAGTGTTTAAATCAGGGCTGCGGTTCTTTGGAGCTGGTTTACGCTCTTCGCAGCTGCTTCGTGAACTGTATTCGAACGACTTACTTAACTAAATAAAATATAATATATATTTGTTTACCTTAAAGGAATTATTGAAACGAAATTTGCTACGGTTCAGTTCGATTTTCTGTGAGCAACTGGTTTGATTTATATACAGACAGACATATGTAGGTATAGCTTGGTTCAGAATGCCAGTTAGAAATTTGTACGGAGCGAGCTCTACGACAAAGTTGTTGAATGGTTATAAAAAGACGTTGACGTCAATTAATAAACAAATCCGTTGCCAGCTTGTTGGTCTACTGCTCTCGTCTGTCTGTGTTTTGGCATTGTTTGCTTTCTAGATTGATAAACGTACAATACCTCCCGCTACCCCTAACAGGTGCAAGCCAACGACACTTGTCCAATCCATTCCACGCTTCTGGCAGTCGTTGGTATATATATATAACAAAAAGAAACAATGCGAATATCTGTTTCTGTATTGTTTGCCAAAGCCTAGTATCAATATTTGCGTCTGAGATGAGCCCAAACCGTCAGTCAGTCGGAGAGACAGCTGTTTTAGCTATGAACTTGGAAAACGATTTATTCCAAAGTTTAACCCACAAATACCCTGAACAAATTGGTATTTGCTAATGATTTAATAATCAATCTATATATATATATATATATATATATATATATATATATATATATATATATATATATGTATATATTGTATATATATAAACATATATATGCCGCACATATGTTCATAAGAATATAATTGCTTTTTTAGCTTCCATCTATTTTTCACACTTGTGGGTGGAATTTCTGAAACACCACAAACTTGTTTTTTGCGTTTTATTATTATTTAGTTAAGTTAATTTAGTTAATGGCTTGCCGTTTTAATGGGGCTCTTGGGTTAAGTAATACGAACACACCCATTATAAAGACGTGGCACTCCTCCATATTAGAATTCCTCACTCACCCACCGTTAACCTACCCCATTCTGAGGCATATCTCAGTGCATGGTTTGTACTTTGTAATGCCTGTTTTTAGAAGTTGGCTGCTGTTTTTCACAAAACTTTGCTGCTGCCTAATTGTGTGCGTTATTTTTAGCCATAAATTCTTGGTAGCCCTACCAGCGGCTGGCTGGGTCGGCCGTCCGCGAAGTTACAAAAGAAAGAAACGTCGATAAGAAATAGCAACAGAGTTGCGCAATATGTTGCCGTTTAAAGCAGGCCACAAGACCATCAAACTAACCAATCAACCAGACAAACAAACAAAAATTCCACTAAGCAACCAACAGAAACAGAAACAGAAACACACGCACATTGCCGATTCCGATTCCAATTCGAATTCCAATTCCAAAAACAAAAACAAAAGCAAAAACTAAACATACATACCTGAAGGCAAGTGCAAGCAACGACGACTGAATGCTCTTGAGTTCAATATTCCTGATTTGAGATCGGCCGAATCCATATTTTTATAGAGCGAGCTCAGGGGACTTTTTGCTCATTCAAGCTACAAGACTTCATATTGATCGCAGATACAAGATGTAGTGTATATGAAGTCTTCAATTATGAAGTCTTCAATTGATTAACCATTCATGCCTAAGAAAGTTCGATCGTTAACCTGAACATGCAGAGGAAAACTAGATGCACGAACCGAATCTCGAGACTGGATTTGACTCGTCTGCAATTACTTATTATAAAACACAAATAGTAAAGATGCGATTCTTCTTATTGGAATCGGAATGGCTGTATGTAATGGTTCGAATGTGCCCGCTGTGCCCGCTGGATGCATTTATGCGAAACAGTTACGTTTCATTGCCCCGACCCAGTTAGCGGCTATTCTCGGCGAATAACAGAAATGCAGTGAATGAAACAGGTCTGAAATCAGATCTTGGCTCCACCTCCTGTCGCATCAATTGATTTCCAGTTTGCCAACTGCTAAATTTATGCTGCTGCATCAACTGCTACTATTACTGTTACTGTTAGTACTACAATTACTGCTACTGTTAGTACTGCCCTTGGTACTACTATTACTACTACTATTCTTACTAATACGCCTACTACTATTACTGCTACTGCTAGTACGACTGTTGATATTCCTACTACTATTCTTACTACTACTATTAGTACTACTGTTGGTACTACTATTTCTACTACTATTCTTACTAATACGCCTACTACTATTACTGCTACTGCTAGTACGACTGTTGATATTCCTACTACTATTCTTACTACTACTATTAGTATTACTGTTGGTAGTAACTACTATGCCTACTACTATTACTGCTACTGCTAGTATTACTATTGCTATTCCTACTACTATTAGTACTACTGTTGGTACTACTTTTTCTACTACTATTCTTACTACTACGCCTACTACTATTGCTATTACTCCTACTATTCTCACTACTATTACTGCTACTGTTGGCAATACTATTACTACTACTATTCTTACTAATCCTAATATTATATTTATTTCTTTTATTACTTTTCCTACTACTCTTTCTACTACTATACTACTATTACTATTTCTTCTCTTATTACTCTTCCCACTACTATGACTACTACTATAAATGCTACTCCTACTATTACTACTACTATTCCTACTATTATTCTTGTGACATAAACTAATTGAACCATAGATTTATTTGAACTATATGCAAGTGTGTGCAAGAGGTGAAAATATCTGCATTTAATTGCCTTCGCTTTCACAGGCCTAAAGAAAATGTTTAAATGTGCTGTAAAAAACAGAATCAACTAGCACATACCCTGTAAACTGCAAACTGTTATGCTAAACTCGAAACGTCTTAGACTGGCAACTGAATAGATCAATGTGTTAGGAAAGCTCTCGTTTAGGTAGCTGAAAACTGGAAACTTTAATAAAGTTATTCTTCAGAAAGCTTTACGAAACAGATTGCTATACTGTGTTTTAAAAACATAAGTTTTCAGACATATTAAGTATCTGATAGCTTTTATCTACACTTTGCAACTGATCTAATAAGATAATATTTCAACTGTATGCACATCGCAAGCTCTATCTAGTTAGTCAGGGTATACTGAAGTTGTGTGTACTCGAGTTATTTA